CGACCGGGTGAGCGAGAGTACCGCCAGCTCGCTTCGACCAGCATTGACCGAGGGCTTGTTCCATGATCTTTTCAATGCTTGCCCTTACGGGGAGATTTTCAACCCTCCACAGTCAACCACCCTTTCACCGCCGAATCTGCTAAATCGACGCAACAGTCAATCCCGGAAGGAGAGCGACGTTACGTTGCGTCAGTCGGTCGAGACTCGGCTGGCACAAACATATCCCGAAGCGCGGTCCTTCATCTTTATGCCTTTATGGAACTGGAACAAATCGCGCTGGCTCGCTGGGTCCCTGATATGGACCTGTGACGATGAGCGATTGTTCGACCAGGACGATCTTCACTTCTTGAAAGTATTTGGTGACTCTGTGATCTGCAAGTACTGTCAACTTGACTGGACGGCGACCGAGAAATCCAAATCGGATCTGCTCTCCTCGGTCAGCCATGAATTGCGGTCGCCATTGCACGGCATGCTTACAAGCACGGAGCTTCTGCAGTCGACGGGGCTTGAGTCCGCTCAGCAGGACATGGTTACCATGATTGAGACTTGCGGTCTGACCTTACTGGATACTGTGAACCACCTGTAAGTTCAGCTACATGACCTTCTACCACTCGACTGATTTCTTCAAGGCTTGACTTCACCAAGATCAACAACCTGACCCTTGCGCACAAGAAGGGAGCCAATGGAAGTGCTCTCGACAACTTGAAGACCGATTTCGATCTGGACATACTCATCGAGGACGTGGCTGACTCTTTGTATGTCGGCCATCGCTCTCTCATCAATGCTTCCAAGATTGCGGGTCGGTATCTGCAGACCGGCACGTCTATGACGAGTGGAGCTGCCAAGACTAACCACCCGAATGATCTGTCTGTCATCATTCAGATCGAGGATCTCGGCTCGTGGAACATCCAGTCATTATCAGGTGGCTGGCGCCGGATTGTCATGAACATCTTGGGCAATGCTTTCAAATTCACTCGGTCGGGATATATCGAGATCTCCTTGGCGAAGAAGGTGCATCGAGATGCAGGATCCAAGAAGGTCTTGGCGCACTTTTCTGTGAAGGATACTGGAAGCGGAATCTCGCCTGAATTTCTGGAGCATCAGCTGTTCACCCCGTTTGCACAGGAGAATATTTTGACCGAAGGGGTGGGATTGGGCTTGAGTGTGGTGAATCAGGTGGTGACTTATCTGGGGGGAGAAGTGGAAGTCAAAAGCACTGTCGGCGTTGGAACGCAGTTCGACGTTTATGTGCCTTTGGACTTCGTGGCGGAGACTTTCGCGCCGGCTGAACCTATTCCTAGCTCGATTACGCGGGTCTCTCTGGTCGGATTGAATGCCTATGCAGACTTGAGACAAGCCCCGGCCGGGCTTCTGCGACCGGAGGCCAAGCGCAAATTGGCTCTTCGAAGCGCGTTGAGCAATGTCCTGTTGAGTCAACCGGGATGGATGCTGTCATTTGCCGACTCGGTCGACAAAGCATCCGGCGACATTGGTGTCATCGAGGAGTCTGCGCTGAAGGCGCTTCATGAGAAAGGCGGGACTCGACTGAAGTTCAACACAGTCATTGTCATAGGGGAGCAGGGTGTTTCCATCCCGCCAGACCTCACTATCGAGGGTTCCGATGTGATCTACATCCCTCAGCCGTAAGTATCATCCCGTAACCAGGCACAGTCTCATGCTGAGAGAAGAACAGTATCGGTCCGCGGAAGATCATTCAGGCCTTGCAACGGGTCAACGAAGCTCGCCCACAAGCCCCTTCGGCGGAGCAGGATTATATCATTGGCCCGTTCTCCGGTGCTCAGCGCGGACGCAGCTTGTCGGATGCGTTCGCTCTGGCCAAGGGATCGGAGTCGCCTCCGGTGGTGCGGGAGAATATGTCCGAGTTCGCGCCGGACATGTCACGGAAATCGAGACAAAATGAGCTTCACGTGCTGATCGTCGACGACAATGACATCAATGTCAAGGTGTGTCTAGGGAGCTCTACCAGGCTGCTGTTTGGTTGTGTGCTAGGTCCATGCGCTAACAGCTCTAGGTCTTGACCACCTTCATGCGCAAAATTGGCTGCAGCTATGAGACTGCCACGGATGGCCTTATCGCCTTGGAAAAATTCAAAGCGTCGACGAAACACTTCGACTACATCCTTATGGGTATGCCTGTCACCCGTTCCCATGCTCTTTCCATGCTCTTTAGCAGGACAATTACTAACGGCTGAGAACCAGACATCTCCATGCCCGTGATGGACGGTATCGAATCCTCCAGCAAGATGCGGGAATTCGAGGAGGAGAACTCGCGCCCGCGCACGGCCATCATGGCGGTCACCGGGGTGGCGTCGAGCGAGATGCAGCAGCAGGCCTTCGCGGCGGGGATCGACGACTATCTGGTCAAACCCCTGTCGCTTCACGACTTGAAACGAATAATGAACATTGCATGATTGAATTTACGGTGAGCGGTGAGGGAGCTTCGGGGCGGATGAAAAGTGAGGGATCATCATGTATAGAACCCATGTTGCGGTGTTGGTGTTGAGGGTGGAGGATAATTCAGGTTTGCATTTTGGTTTCTGCGGGGATTTAGATGTATAAACTAGACGCATTGGTGGCTTGCTTTGTTACTTGGCTTGGCTTGGCTGGCTGGTAGGAGTTGAGAGATCTTTGCTTAATTCGATGGTGTGTATTAAAAAGGCAGGATCTAATGCAGTCAACCATACTACTCCGGATGGTGCTGTCCCTACATGGCCAGATGTAGGCAGCATCTGCTAGTCCTGGGATGATACCGGTAACTTACAGTACAAGTGCTCATAACGACCTGTTAGTCACACGCAGCATGTCATGTGACCCCGTGCTGCAGATAACAGTGGAGGTCAGATGACTTCACCGCCGGTCCAATCACGGTTAGCGGCGGCGATCTCCGACAAGGAGCGAGGGTAGTTGGTTATAACTTCTGTATACTTAGTCAACTGTCGTCTGTTGTCCTACCGTCGTCTGTCTGCCTCCTTGCTTCTCCATCATCGTTGCTTGCTTCTCTTCCGTGACCCTTCAATACATATTACATCAACTGTCCTCCCAACTGACACAATCACCTGTAACCAATTGACTGCCCCTGCACCCCATCTCAAGCGGGGACCCCCAGCCCTCAACAGTCCCTCTCACCCAACCCAACTCACCATGACCACCCGCTACCGCGTGGAATATGCCCTCAAGTCCCACCGACGGGACCAACTGATCGAGTGGATCAAAGGCCTTCTGGCAGTACCATTCGTCTTGCACTCGCAACCGACCGCCGTCTACCAGGAGCACAGCGAGAACCTGATCGCGGTCGCCGCCGACACCCACCAACGGTATGCGGAGATCTTCCGCGATGTGGAGAAGCTGATCCGCGACCACATCACACACCAGGCGCAGGAGGCGCCCGGCAAGTCGAAGCTCAAGCTGCTGGTGCCGACGGTGGGCTCGTTCTTCACGCCGCTGTTCCTCGAGGACGCCTTCAACTACCAGGACCGGCAGCGGTTCATCAGCCGACGGCGGTTCGTGGCGCCCTCCTTCAACGACGTGCGGCTGATCCTCAACTCGGCCCAGCTGTTCGGCCTGGCCCGCACCACCGGCGTCGACCTGGTCACCTTCGACGGCGACGTGACGCTCTACGACGACGGCGCCTGCCTGACCGACGACAACCCGGTCATCGCGCGCATCACCCGCCTCCTCCTGGCCGGCCGCAAGGTCGGCATCGTCACCGCCGCCGGCTACACCGAGGCCGCCAAGTACTACGAGCGGCTGCGCGGGTTGCTCGATGCCATGCACGCCTCCACCAGCCTGACCGACGCCCAGCGCGCCGGCCTCGTCGTCATGGGCGGCGAGAGCAACTTCCTCTTCCGCTACGACCACGCCTCCCCGCACCGCCTCGTCTACGTGCCCCGCTCCGAGTGGGTGCTCGAGGACATGCGCTCTTGGCAGGAGGCCGACATCACCGAGTTGCTGGACATCGCCGAGTCCTCGCTCCGCGCCTGCGCCGCCAACCTCAGCCTGCCCGTCGCCGTGCTCCGCAAGGACCGCGCCGTCGGCGTCTACCCCCTCGACCGCAGCAAGATCACCCGCGAGCAGCTCGAGGAGACCGTGCTCGTCGTGCAGAATACCGTCGAGCGGTCGCCGGTCGGCTCGCGTTTGCCGTTCTGCGCTTTCAACGGTAGCTCCCCCTCCCCCTGTGTCACTCAGCCCGAAGTCTTATGGCAAGGCTTCCCGGGGGAGAACCCCCGGACCCCCCTTTTCTTTCAACTTCCCAGTAACACTCAATCCTGAGTCCTGGAATAAACACGTTCTGGGGAAGAACCCCCGGAGCCCCCTTTCTTTCAACTCCCCAGCAAAGCTCACTCATACCAAACATTGCACAGCCGAGTCTTCTGCTTTCTCTATGGTTGGACAGGGCTAACATTTTTGTCAGGCGGCAACGACGTATTCGTGGACATCGGCGACAAGTCCTGGGGTGTGCGGGCGTGCCAGAAGTACTTCGGCGGCATCGAGCCCGCGCGCACGCTGCACGTGGGCGACCAGTTCCTCTCGGCGGGCGCCAATGATTTCAAGGTGAGTCTGCCTCTGTCTGCGTCTTTGTGAAAATAGATAGGCTGACAGATACTAGGCGAGGCTGGCGTCGACCACGGCGTGGATCGCGAGTCCGGCGGAGACGGTGCAGCTTCTCGATGAGCTTGAAGGGCTGTCGGGGGTTTAGGGATTGCGTAGGAATCTGTGTATTGTTGCTTGTCGGGCAACGAATGGCCCAGGTTATGCTCCTGGGCTCATTGGAAGCTACAAGGACTGCTCGTATTGCCCGCAGCAGGAGTCCAATTTTTTGTTATGATTTATCAGCGTGACTTTTGTCTGTAGGCGATGCTTTATAATCAACGCCGGCTGCCGGGCGGGAATTTTTAAGCTGTGTCGTGCTTATCACTAATCTGATGTACACGTACATACGTACAACTAATGATGCCTCGTAGACCCTGACAGTGGCAGTGGCAGTGGTCGTGTCGGTCTGCGATCTGCAGCAAAGTGGGCCCACACGAGCGCGTCAGCACGCAAAGTCGGTGGTCTACACCCCAGGTGTACAGGCACACTCTAGAGAGTAACGCCCTGTGGAACGGGTATAAATCCACCGGCATCCGTCCCGTACCTGAACCCATCTATCTCCATTCTACCCGGTCCAACCACCCAGCCCACCCCCATCCCCACCTTCAAAATACCACAAAACCGACAGAAGAAAAATGCCAACCGTCCTAATCCTCGGCGCCTCCGTCGCCGGCCTCCCCATCGCGCACGCCCTCCTCAAAAACAACACCTCCACCTCCTCCCGCCACAAGACAAAGGTCATCCTGGTCAACCCCTCGCGCGACTTCTTCTGGATGATCGCCGCCCCGCGCATCCTCACCAAGCCCGCCGCCTTTCGCGCGGAGCAGTACCTCATCCCCATCGAGCCGGGGTTTGCGAGGTATCCCAGGGAGGAATTCGAGTTCGTGCACGGCGCCGCGACGGGTGTGGACTTCAAGGCGAAGACGGTGAGCGTTGCGCTGTCCGCCCCTTCATCTGAAGCCGACAGTACTGCTGCGCGGACGATCGAGTATGGATACGATTACCTCGTCCTCGCGACGGGGAGCACCACGCCGTCTTCGATTGCTACCACGACCGAGAGCCGGGGGCACGCGGTGCTGTATCCGTTCAAGCCCCCTCCTCCTTCCACCAGCGCTTCCCCCCACTCCCTAGGGGACTTAATCGCCACAGCGCAAAGCAGCATCAGCAAAGCGAAGAGAATCGTCATCGGCGGCGCAGGCCCGATCGGCCTCGAGACGGCGGGGGAACTCGCTGACCTGCCGCACAAACCGTCTATCACGCTGATTTCTGCTGCGGAGCGGGTCCTCCCTGGTATAACAGAGGGCGCGAGCAGGTCTGCGGCGACGCAGCTTGCGCAGAAGGGGGTGTATGTTATCACCGGCCGGAAAGTCGTCAGTTACTCCCCCGAGGAGGGGGTTGTTACCCTCGATAACGGGGAGAAGATCGAGACGGAGGTATACATCCCGACGACGGGGGTGCTCCCTAACAACTCGTATCTCCCGGAGGGAGTCCTCGACGAGAAAGGGTGGGTCAATGTCGACGAGGAGCTGCGCGTGCTCGGCACGGAAAGTGTCTATGCGGCGGGGGATATCACCGCCTATCCTACGAGGTTGGCCCAGCGGGCCGGGGAGCAGGCTGGTATTGTTGCACATAATCTGGTGGTGGAGATTAACGGTGCTGCTGGCGGCAAGAGGAAGCGGTTTGCGCCGGGGAAGGCGATGATGGTTGTGCCCCTTGGGAGTGCCGGAGGCACCGGGGAGTTGTGGTTTGGGTGGGTGCCGTTTGTTTGGTTGGTGCGGTTGGTGAAGGGGCGGGATTTTTTTATTTCGAAAGCTAAGAGCTTGGTATTCTCCTAGAGGTGGGGAGTCCGGGTGTCTCCCCCGGTATCTTTTATATCTCTCTTCTTTAAGGGTTTATGCTTGGTTTAATTGAGGTGGGGGGTACGGGGGGTCTCTCCCCGTTACTTTCTGTATTCTGTTTTCTTTAGGGTGATGCTTTAGAGTTATTTGATCTAGCTTTGGAAGTTAATGCTTAATTTGATACAAGCGGGGGCTCCGGGGGTCTCCCCCCGTTGCTTTCTAGATTTTGTTTATATCAGGGTCTCTCTGAATATACATTCTCTTTGTTTCTCTTCTCTGGGGTTTATACTTGATGTGAATAGAGCGGGGTACGGGGGGGTCTCTCCGTGTAACTACGTATATTTCTCTCTGTCTCTATGGTTGCTTACTATCTACTGTGATTGAGTAACGCTGGCTAGTCTATAGTATCTGGTTTAGGTTGAATGTGAGCGTGGCTGGGAAGCTGAAAAGAAGGGGGGTCCGGGGGTTCTCCCCCGGGAAGCCTTATTCTAGGTATACATTAGGGTTAAGTGTTACTGGGAAGCTGAAAAGAAGGGGGGTCCGGGGGTTTTCCCCCGGAACGTGTTATTCTAGGGTCCTGGGGTGAGTATCACTGGGAAGCTGAAAGAAAGGGGGGTCCGGGGGTTCTTCCCCGGAACGTGTTATTCTAGGGTCCTAGGGTGAGTGTAGTTGGGAAGGTGCCAAGGAGGTTCTTTCTCTCGGTATACATCAGGTTGGTCCTACGGGAAGGTGCCAGGGGGGTTCTTACTCTAGGTGGACACCAGATTGGTCCTACAGGGAAGGCGCAGAGGGCGGTAACACATCAACAAGTCCATTGATGAACGAATCATTATCCATATCGCATAACACCCATTGTATCGATCTTTTCTTCATGCCTCATGCCAGCTGGTATCCAGCCTCTACCCAGCCTAACACAGCCCTCTCAGCCAGCCCCAATCATCCTAAGCAGCGTAAGAGGTCCAGGCGGCCGCGTTCTCTTTGCTGGACCGCCCGGACAAGATGTTGACCGTGTCCTGAAGCTCCAGCCAGAACTCGGTCTTGGGCCGACGGCGCGACCAGTCGGTCTCGGTCGCCTCCAGCCCGTTCTCGCCGCCCATCGCCGAGAACAGCACCTGCGAGCCCTTGATACCAATAACAGAGGCGGACATCTCGTCCTGGGCGATCTCCTCCGGCGACTGGCCCGCGTAGCTCTCCAGATGGATCATACACTTGGTGGCCATGCGCAGAGCGCGGATCCGGTCCATCGGCGACGGCTTGCCGCCCTGCTGGAAGTGGCCGGGCACGGCGGCACGCGACTCGAAGCGGCCCTTGGCCTCCTCCTTGAGGATGTCGGCGATCACCTGCGTGGTGTACGTGTTGGAGGCACACTCGTTGCGCAGGATGATCTTGCCGGCGCGGTTGGCGCCCTTGTCGCGGGTGAAGCTCTCGCGCAGGAAGTCGATGTCGCGCGACAGCGTCTTGATGTCGATGCCCTCCTCGGGAATGTACACGGCCGCCGCGCCCACCGACAGACCGGCCGTCGTGGCAATGTACCCCGACTTGCCGCCCTGCGTCTCGATGACGAACACACGACGCCGCGAGGACGAGGCCGACTGGCGGATGATGTCGCAGAAGTCGATCAGCGTGTTGAGACAGGTGTCGCTACCCAGCGAGTACTCCGTACCGGGCACGTTGTTGGAGATCGTGGCCGGCAGCACGGTCATGGGGATCTTGAAGGCAGGGAACTTCTCACGCGCCTGGCGCAGCTGGCTGACAGCAGTGAAGGCCTCGAATCCACCGACGACGAACAGCGCGTCGAACTTGAACTTCTTGAAGCACTTGGCGGTCGTCTCCAGGTCCTCACCGGGCAGGCTGCGGTTCGTTCCGATGTCGGATCCTCCCTCGTTGACCCAGCTGTCGGACTCGATCCACTTGATCTCGCGGACCGAGCTGACCGGGGTATCGGCGTGGTGGCGGCAGAGACCGGGGAAGCCGTTGTGGATCGCAAGGGGCGTGTGGCCGCGGGTCAGACAGTAGGCGACGGCGGCGCGGGTGGCCTGGTTCATACCACCAGCGGGGGCACCAACGTGCACAATAGCGATGCGCATTCTCTGTTTTCAATCAGCACACGTACCAAGCACCAACACGGGGATCTTACCTTGTTCTCAGGGAGCAAGAGCTTCGGGTGGTCGGGGGTGGAGGTGTTCTTGTAGGAGAAGTGGTATTCCTTGAATTCCGAGTCGCGCAGAGCCATGGCCTTGTCGAACTCCTTGTTCTCGATGTGTGCGGTGACGGTCTTGGTGAGCTTCACGGCCTCCATCAACGGCGTGCGCATGATCTTGTTCTCGCGGATGGTGATGACGGGCGACGGCGAGTCGGGCTTGGTATCGAGGACGGCGCGGACGGCCTCCACACCCTGCAGAGTCGACAGCCAGCGGTCATAGGCACAAGCGGCACCACCTCGCTGGGTGTGACCCAGAACCGTCACACGGGTATCCAGACCCAGACGCTCGGTCAGAATGTCCTTGATCTTCGAGCTCGAGATCTTGTTCAGGTGTCGGTCCTGTGCTCCCTCGGCCACGATGACGATGGTCCTCCGCTTTCCGCGTTCCTTTCGGTTCTGGAAGATGTTAGCCTGGTCCTTTAGGGGAAGTTCCAGGGTTGCTGATTACCTTAGTGATGATGGAGCACATGTCATTCTCCCATCCATCCTTGGGAGGCATTTCAGGCACGAAGAGCCAGTCCGCACCGGTACTGATGGCAGCCATCAAGGCGAGCCAACCGCAGTGACGTCCCATGACCTCAATGACGAAGCCTCTCTGGTGGGAGAAGGCAGTATCGAACACGTCGTCGACCGCGTCACAGATACGGGTCAGGGACGAGTAACAACCAATGGTGGCGTCCGTGCCGGACATGTCGTTGTCGATGGATCCAACCAGACCGACGATGTTCAAGATCTTGTAGGGCTCGACTTGCTCCTTGGTCAATTCCTTCTTCTCAACCAGCTCCTCCAGCAGACCCGGCCACTCGGAGCGGAAGAGATCGGCACCCGTCAAACTACCGTCACCACCGCAGACGACCAGGGCGTCGATGCCGCGGAGGACCATGTTCTTGGCGGCCTTGAGACGACCGGGGCGCTCGCGGAAGGTCATGCAGCGAGCCGAGCCGATCAGGGTACCACCCTGAGACAGCCAGCCGCGGACATCTTCCCAGTAGACCTGACGGATCATGTCTCCGCCGTTGACCAGACCTTCGTAACCTTCGAAGACGGCGTAGGCCTCGCAGTCGGAGTGGATGGCCATGCGGACGACGGCCCGGACGGCGCCGTTCATACCAGGAGCATCACCACCCGAGGTCAGGACCGCGATGCGGCGTCTCTTGGGGGGTTGCACGGGATTTTGGGGGGCAGCCATCGTGTCGATGACGACGAGTTCAGTTTATGAGGGTTTGTAGCTCCAATCCACGCGGGGGATGAGCAATGTACTTGGTGAGGGGAGGATAGGCGACGGAGGATGAGTGAAAGAGCTGGCAATGGCGGTTTGCGGAACGTTCCTAAGGTAAGATAACTTGTGTGACGGTGGGGGAGAAGTGCCGGTGAGAAAAAGCGGGTGTGGGCAACAGTACGTCACAGACTTGAGGACTGGAGAGGTCCGGTAGTGCCCCGCCGAGAATGTAATGGGGATGAGATGGGCAGGTGGGTGGTGGAGGAGGGTGCGAGGAAACAACGAAAAGAACACGCAAGAGTCAAGCTAACGGACTTCTAGTCCTGATGAGATGCGGATGCAGCTGTCTTTGATGCTCGTGTCAGCTCTGGTGAGGTGAAGCTGGAGGCACTGGCATGGCATGACGAAAGAGGGGGAGCGAGGCCAAAGGCGGCCATGTGCGGCAATTGATGTCACTGCTTCTGCGCCGTCAGAAAGAGACTAGTGCGGGACACTACACGTGACTGCCGCTAGGGTAGGGCCGTTGCTCGCACGTGAAGTCATGTGATGCTCCCTCAAATGGGATCCACGCGCATAATCTGGCGGATCCGATTGGAGCAAGCTAGCTCCTGCTGTTTGATCCAGCTCGGATTCCTGAGCGAACTGATGGCTTCCCGAACCGGACAGTAGGGTCTCGCGGGCCGATCGTCGTCCCCAGCCGGCACCCTAGACACTCATCATCATACCTCAAAGAACTGGTTTGCCAGTGGAGAATGACAACATCAGAGGATGGAAAACATTAGGGTAATTTGATAACGAAGACGCTTAATTAGCACTCATCTATACACCTTCCAATCAAAGAAAGCCTTCGGGTTCAATGTTAATATGAGTCTGTAGACAGATATATATTTCAGCTCTCGGACCGTGAGCCATTCGTCGCGCATGTTTCTTCACAACACGCTATGTGGGAAGAAATCTCCCCATATACTTGTATTCCACATCAGAATGAATAGTAGAGAACATGAAGTAAGCAAGTGATGACCGCCAGACGGACTGCTTCCATCCAAGGGTGAATGTTGCAAAACTATTGGTAAAATACGTACCATGCACCATTGTCACGACCTAGTATGTCAGAAGTCTAAAATGATACGGTCAGACGAGCGGAGTACATAGCTCTATCAGCTAACAGTAAATGGACAGTTCTTCATTTTTGCAACTAGCTGGTAAGGCCTTTCTGCTTGAAGGTAGATTCTGCCTGAATAGTAAGCCTCGGCATCAATGCCGATACTTGTCTCATCAATACGAGGATGTTGGACAATTGTCTTCAACATGAGAGTATGTGCAGAAAGAAGCAGGATAGTTAGCGTCCGTGACCACACACTGGATCATACACTGGCTTCCTGATGAAATGTTTCGCACGTCAAGCAACTTCAATCAGAGCAACACTTGAAGCCTTATCGGAAGTAATAAACCGAAGGACACTAAGACCAACCCGGACTAGCGTGAACAAGCTGCTCCGTCACGTGCACAACAGCCATGGTCTATCTCCGGCTCGATCAATTGCACCGACTCCGCTCAACTCGCCTGAGCTGCCACCTGACGGACACCTGACGGACGTACGACACCATGTCCGACTCCTTCACCCTCCCCCTGCGCCCGCTTCTTGAGAAGCGCGAGCGGCCGGACACCCTCCCCCAGGAAATCGCCCAGATCAACGCCCAGTACGGATCCTTCCGCGATGTCACCGAAGAGAGCCTCCGGGCCAAGATCGCAGAGGAGAAGAACAAGGACCCATGGGCGGAGGAGGACGAATCCGAGAAGCCGACCGCCGAGGTTGACACCACGGAACGAATGGACCAGTTGTACAAGCGCCGCGCCGAGATCACACAGTTCGCCATGTAGGTGATGCGAACCCCCGACCGACACACAGACACGGTGCTGATGGCAGGTGTAGGCAGGCGCACATGGAAGCCCAGTTTGCCGTCGATTTCGTCTCGCTGCTGCTCTCGAAGCACACCCCCCGCCAAGCGGAGCTGTCGATGTCGGCCTACC